ATTCACCCTAGTTCGTTTAATGTGACTTAAGGACAAAGGTGGAATCTTTTCTCAATTAAATGAAAACTTATGAAAACTAAAAAATTCTCTTGTCCACGTCTCCAAAAATCTTTTTTATCCCAATTTGCCTACAAGTTAGTCATCGCCTAATACTAATTAACACTCCATATAGGCTTTGAACCTAGTCGTACTCGTAAATTGGCGAAGGATTACCATTACGCCATGCAGCAGTTGGGTCAAAGGGCAGATGTAATTTCAAGTAAGCCAGGCTAGTTTCAAATTGATCTGATATATGTTCTTTCTTTCCGTGTCCATTATACATCTCTTTTTGGTTGACCAGGAAAGATATTGCATTTTCTGAAAATTTACAGTTAACTATATCTGACGATGGACAGCCCGTTCTATCCCAGACTGAAAAGCTTCATTTTCACTCTGATTTGGTACCTGCATCAAATTCGCCCAGCGACAAATTCAGCCTTGGGGCCACAACCTCTTCCGGCCTTCGCATAAAGCTGTCCGGCTGGTCCGACACTAATATAACACCTGAGGCCCAAAAGAGAACGTCACGTCTGATAATGTTCACCGGACAGCATCTTTTCTCCATTCAGCCGGCCCGAGATTGTTATGAACAGAACATAGAATTAGTGGGCATTTCTGGTGATCATATAAAACAGAATTTCAACTATGATTCAGCTGAGAATGTCTGCGCCTCGAATGATAAAAATGGGCACCATTTTTCAAAGCATAATGGCAGCGAATCCGCTGTGACAAGTAGAAGATTGTCTTTTTCAGAAAGTGAATGTATGTTTTGTCAACAAGTGTATGCATCCTCGCAACAAGCTGTTGTTTCGGGATTGCCCAACGCGAATCGATCGGCTGAGACCTGGAGAACCCTAATCGGGGAAAAGAAGGATCAAAATCCAGGAGAGACTGACATTCCTGTCCGAGCCAGAGTTGTCAGAGAGATTCTTCCAGGACAACGCCTACTGCTCTGGTTTTCGCAGCGGCTTTCTCT